CATAGCCTACTGATACCCTGATTTCAGACTTCTGGCCTTCAGGACTGTAAGAGAATCAATTTCTGTTGTTTTAAGCCATTAAGTTTGTGGTAATTTGTTATAGCGCCATCAGAATCTAATAACCCTAATTTTAATTACCAATAAAATTTCCTTAATATGCTATTTATACATATATCGAAAAGGTAGAATTTGAAATTGATCAAAGATAGACTCATCACAGATATACAGTTAAAGCAAATGGTCTTTTTCCTTTTTCTAGTGTTTCTACAATTAGAGAAGATGGTGTCCATTTTGAGAGAACCTACAATTTGTTTAGCATCATTAATACATTTTTCTTTTTTTTTTTTTTCTTGAGACAGAGTCTCACTCTGTAGCCTAGGGTAGAGTGCCGTGGCATCAGCCTAGCTCACAGCAACCTCAAACTCCTGGGCTCAAGGAATTGTACTGCCTCAGCCTCCCGAGTAGCTGGGACTACGGCATGCGCCACATGCCCGGCTAATTTTTTCTATATATTTTTAGTTGGCCAAAATTCTTTCTATTTTTTAGTAGAGACAGGGTCTCACTCTTGCTCAGGCTGGTTTCAAACTCCTGACCTTGAGTGATCCTCCCGTCTCAGCCTCCCAGAGTGCTAGGATTACAGGCGTGAGCCACCGCACCCAGCCAATACATTTTTCTTAAACATCATCGTTCAGTTTTTGTTCAATAATTCTAATTTCCTTTAATACTTTCAAGGGCACCTGCACTTAGATGACAAATAGGCTTTTCAACTGTGATGCTAAAAACTGAGCTCCTGATACTTTCCAAACTCACTTTTCAAAGAACTGAGAAAATAAGGTGTTGAAGTGATCATGTACATGGATATTGAAATCACCAGCCTAAATTCCTTGAGTTCTTAGAGTCTTTGAATTGTAAAAATATGAAAATTTTCCAAATAGTTAAGATATTTATGATTGTAATTATCACTCCCTTGGATGTGGAGCTCTTTTGCGTGGACAATATGAACAACCTTATACAGTGACCTGGGTTTCAAAAAGGAGGGAATACAGTCGTCTGTCCCTTGGTATCCACTGGGCATTAGTTCCTGGATCCCCTGAGGTTACCAAAATTCATGGATGCTCAAGTCCCTTATATAATAGGGTATAGTACTTGCAAATAACAGATGCATATCCTCTTGTATACTTTAAATCATCTCCAGATTATTTATAATACCTAATACAATGTAAATGTTATTAATATATGAATAGTTGTTATGCTGTAATGTTTTAAAACTAATTTTTATTGTTGTATTGTTATTTTTCTTTTTTGTCTGAATATTTTTGATCTGCAGTTAGTTGAATCCAGGATGTGGAACTCACAGATACAGAAGGCTAACTGTAGTCAAGTGTTGCAAATGCTGCTCAGAGGTCTAGTAAGGTGTCTTATAATTGACCACTACATTTGGTAACATGGAGGTTATGGGCTGAATTGTGTCCCCTCAAAATTCATATGCTGAAGCCTTAATTGCCACTACCTCAGAATGTAACCATGTTTGGATATAAGGTCTTTAAAGAGGTAATTATGTTAAAATGAGGTATTTAAGGTGGACCCTAATCCAATATGACTGGTGTTCTTCTAAGGAAGAGGAAATTTAGACACAGCCAGCCACTAGACATGTCACACACATAGAGATGACCATTTGAAGATACAGTGAGAAGGCAGCCTTCTATGAGCTGAGGGAGGAAGGCCTGAGAAGAAACCAGACCTGCTGACGCCTAGACTCCTAGCCTCTAGAACTGTGGGAAAATAAATTTTGTTGTTTAAACCACCCAGGCCATGATATTTTGTTAGGGCAATCTGAGCAAATTAATATAGAGGTGTTGCAAGAAATATGGGGGATAATTACAGAAGCAAAGTTCTTGAATAGTTGAGATTGATATTAGCTAGGAGCACAGACTTGATTATGATAGGAGGGAGGGCAGAGTAGATGGGTGCAGATGCAGGTAGGTTGGTTGATTTGGAAGTGGAGACACGACTTATTCTATTTTCTCAGTTAAATAAAAAGCAAGATCATCAGCTGAGAGTGAGGAGGGTAGAGAGAAAATTGTAGATTCAATGGGAGAGGACTGTTTTTTTTTCTGTGCCAATTATAAGTCTGAAAATAAACAAAGAAAAAAAGATAGGGAACTGTTTTAATAATCATCTGGTTAAGTGAGTGCTATAAGCTGAATGTGTACTCCTAAAATTTGTAAGACAAAATTCTCACCCTTGAGGTGATGGTATTAGGATATGGGGCCTTTGGGAGGTGAGGAGTTCATGTGGTGTGCCCTCACCTCATGAATGGGGATAGTGCCCTTATACAAGTAGTCTGAGGGAGCTAATATGCCACTCCCACCATGTGAGAAGGTGCCATCTATGAACCAGTAAGCAAGTCCTCACCAGACACTGAATTTGTTGGTGTCTTGATCTTGGACTTCCACCCTCCAGAACTGTGGGGAATCAATTTCTGTTGTTTGTAATTTCTGTTGTTATAAGCTATAAGTATTTTGTTATAGAAGCCTGAATGGACTAAGTAAATGAACCGAGGAAATGTAGTCAGATTGCTGGGCAGTGCTAAAGGCCCGATTGAGGTGTGAGGCAATAAAATTAAAGTAAATCCAGTCACCACCATTGTAAGTTTTTCTCTAGTCATGTTCAGCTAGTGAAAAGTTGGATTTAGCTAGGGCTGGGGTTTTGACAGTTGAATATGATGGAGAATAGAGCAAGAAAGGTGAAGAAATTTGCAAGGAAATTGTTATAACAATGGGCCATGGAATCTAATCTGGTTAAGAAGGAAAGTGATGCTATGTGATGCTATAAAAGCAGTGATGGATCATGACGAGGTGTTGGCTCAAGCGGAATCAAAGAGTTGTTAGAATAGGGGTACTAAGGGAAATGAGCTGGAAAGATATGAGATTGCATTTAGAGTATGGGATGTTTGAGATTTCAGGGGTGGTGCGTTTTACTGATAATGATATGGATATGGTTATGCCTATGAGAGTGGGTGGTTATAGTGAAAGTCAAGGTAATTGAAAGTCAGAAAGTGAAAGAAGTCAGAGGCCAGGATGTTGGACTGATCATCTATGTGGATATAGAAATTACCAAGAATTATGGCAGGAGTAGTGGTGAAAAGAAAGACAGCAAGCTTGATGCTAAGGATTATTAGGTTAAATAAAAAAAGAATAAGAGAGAGAATAAGATTTATAGCACAATATCATTTATGTAAATAAAAGATTCACATAAAATCACACTACATACATTATGAGAAAACATGCATGCTTGATGACATTTATTGTGCATATTAGAATGGCACTGATGAGGGGAGTAGTTTGCGAATGAAGAAAAGAGTTGGAGGTGAAGTGATGGTGAGGCGCCGGCACCCGCAGGGCTCCCCAGGATGGTTGCAATGCTGCAACTGGGGCTAACCACGGGAAGACACTCTGGGGTTAGCCCTTCTTGAGCTCATGCTCATGGGACTCCTGCTGGAGACACAAAGCCAGCCTGCAAAAGGCCCGTGTGCATCCCCACCTGAGGCAACCACCACACGGTGAGAGGGGCTGGGAGGCTTCAGTCTCATGCCCACTGGGTTACGACTTGGGGGAGGAAATGGTCTCTCCTTCTAAGACCTGGCCAGAACTCAATTTGCCCAGAGGGCACCCATAGCTGGGACAGGGCAATTTCCAGGACTCAGATAAGAAAGAGGGCCCTTGGGGCCACCTGCCTCATTAGTGGCTCCAATCCAAATATCCCCACAGGAGCCCTGGGTGAAATTGACAGTGGGGATTCCATTGGTGCTGCTGAAACATACAGGAGACTTCCATTGCATGCATTTGAGTGGCAGCATCCTGGGACTAGGGTAGCCTTGGAGTGCTGCTGAACTGTGTTGCCTCAGGGGCTTAAAAAGGGCTCTCCTGCCCTGTTTGATGGGAGCTTAGCAGGAGACTTGTGTAACCTGTAATTGGAGAGATTTGCAAACAGTAGGTTACTACTTACTTGGGATTCCAAATTAGTAAGGGAACCTGTGCCAACTGTGCGGGTTCCTAGGAATGGCAGGGTTCTGTCACATCTGGATCCCAAACTTTGGACTAATAGCAAAGCTTTGTACAGGACTCTTAAAGGGACAGATGTGGAGCCCCTGATCTGGACCACAGAATGTCAAAATGCCTTTGAAAAACTAAAGCAGAGTCTTACGACTGCCCCTGCTTTGGGGTTGCCTGACTTGCAGAAAGGATTTAAATTATATATTCATGAAAAACAAAGAATGAACCTTGGAGTCTTAATACAGGTGCTGGAAGACATCCCACAGACATTGGCATACTTGTCAAAGCCACTGGACAATATTGTGAGAAGATGGCCTCCTTGTCTCCAGGCGGTAGCAGCTACTTGTGAGTTGTTATTAAAGACTGTGTTGGCCAGGCGCAGTGGCTCACACCTGTAATCCTAGCACTCTGGGAGGCCGAGGCGGGCAGATTGCTCGAGGTCAGGAGTTCGAAACCAGCCTGACCAAGAGCGAGACCCTGTCTCTACTATAAACAGAAATAAATTAATTGGCCAACTAGTGTATATATATATATATATATACACACAAAAAAAAAAAATTAGCCGGGCATGGTGGCACATGCCTGTAGTCCCAGCTACTTGGGAGGCTGAGGCAGAAGGATTCCTTGAACCCAGGAGTTTGAGGTTGCTGTGAGCTAGGCTGACGCCACGGCACTCACTCTAGCCTGGGCAACAAAGCAAGACTCTGTCTCAAAAAAAAAAAAAAAGAGTGTGTCTACTTTCAATCCTGCCACCCTGTTCCCAGCTGAAGAGAATGAGCCTTCACAGCATGACTGTTTAGAGGTTCTGAAGGCTGCCTATTCTAGCAGGATGGATCTGTTGGATCAGCCAATGCCAGAGCCAGATTGGGATCTTTTCTTTTTTTTTTTAATTAAAAATTTTATACTTTTTTATTACTTTTTAATTTTTCTTTTCAATCAACAAAGCACAGTGTTATAGATTGGGATCTTTTCACTGACGGGAACAGCTTTATGGACAACGAAGGGCTGGATATGTGGTGGTCACGAAATGTACTGCTGGCTGCGAATTCAGCCCAGGAAGATGAGCTGATTGCTTTAACCAGAACCAGAGCTCTTCAGTTATCCAGAGGAAGAAAAGGTAAATATTTATATGGAATCTAAATATGCTTTTATAATTGTACATGCTCATGGTGCCATTTGGAAGAAGAGGGGGCTCCTGATGGCAGGAAATAAGGATATTAAGCATGCCACTGAAATAATGGCCCTGATACAGGCTGTGGCTGAGCCCAAGTGGATGACCTTCATGCACTGACCTGGTCATCAAAGAGGGAGACACTTATGTTGCAAAAAGAAATCAGGCCACTGGCAGAGTTGCTAAGAAGGCCACTAAAAGTGATCTATTCCTTGGGCCTTAATACCCTGGCTAGATTCAGATCCCCTTTAAAACTAAAGACTGGGGTTTTGACATTTGGGGTATCACAGCTAAATGGAGACAAAATTCTCATGGACTCATTCTCCTACCTGAAACATTGGTTCAGCCTCTTATGAGGCAGCTACATGAATGCACACATTGGAGGCATGATTCCTTATGGATTTGGTGGGAACTCATTTTACAGGACCCCATTTGCAGCAAACTATTTATGTGCTCAAAACAATCCAAACACAGAAAAGTGACCTCCTGCACAGGAGACCCAACATGTGAGGACCTACCCTTTCAATATTGGAAATTTCATTCAGATGCCTAAACTTGTATTAGTAGATACCTTTCCAGGCTGGATAGAAGCTTATACTACCCAAATGGAGAGAATGTCTGAAGCTACCAGAATCCTTCTGAAGGAACTCACTCCAAGATGGGCTCCTACCAGCTGCTGGCCCGGGTTGAGGCCTTCCAGAGTTCCTGCATGCGTATGCCAGTGCTGAGCAGAAATAGGCCTTGGAGGACGGCGGGATGATGGGCGTCAGCAGTCTAGGGAAAGAGGCCAGGCAGATGGAGAATGACATGCTGGTGATGGACGCCATGGACAGGCAGCTGCAGAGTCAGTTCAGCAGCTTCTACAGCGAGGGCATCAGCAGGCAAAGCTGCAGAAAGCCAGGGACAAGAAGCTAGAAACCTGGAAGCTGATGGAGGCAAACAAGGCTCAGACAGGGAAGGTCAAAGTGTCCGTGCCCTGAGACTACATGAAAGCCATTGGACTGTTCATCTCCTTCCTGAGCATCTTCCTTTTCTTGTGTAACCATGTTGCCACCCTGGCTTCTAACTAGTGGCTCAGTCTCTGGACTGATGGCACCATTGTCGACAAGACCTAGGAGCATACTCCATGGAGCTCTAGGCATTTTGCAAGGTATCACCATGTTTGACTACTTCCTGGCAGTGTCCATGGAGGGGTGTCTTTGCTTCCCACCATCTGCACCTGGATCTGCTGCACAATGTCCTGTGGTCACCCATAAGCTTCTTTGAGTAGACCCCCCCAGTAGGAACCTGGTGAATTGCTTCTCAAAGGAAGTGGACATGGTGAACTGAATAATTCTGCAGGTCATCAAGATGTTCATGGGCTACTTTGCTCCATATAGAATGATAATGGACCCTCCTTTGTAGTGGAGGTAACCCAGCAAGTAAGCAAATCCTTACATCTAGAATGGAAATTGCATGGAACCTATATAAAGTGGGATAGGGTGTTGCTGCTTGTCCTCCTCTGGATAACGGTAGCCCCTAGAAGCAGGCTTAAGTTAAGCTCCTAAAAAATAGTTAATGAGAGACCCTTCCTAGCACCCTGAGGTAAGTATGGTAATATAACCATGAGTAAAGAAAGCAGAGTAAAGCAGTATGTCAAACAAATGGGTCAGATACTAACCAGTATGCATGAATTTGCCTCTTTCAGATCCCCATCCCAGTTGGAAGCAGAGAAGTAGAAGGGACCCTATGAAGGGCCCTCTAACAATACACACTTCATTGAAACTGTCAGGAGTAAAACCTTGGGTTCATCATACCAGAGTAAAAAGGTGTCCCATGGAAGAAGAGGGCCCAAGCCCCCAGCTGATGGGCCAGCCTTTAGGCAATCTAACGTATCTGTTTAAGAAGAAGGAAAAATGAAAATGTTGATATTTTTGCTAACTTTTATTTGGTTATTTGTTCTGTCTATAGAATGGAGAGGCAATCCCTTAGTGAGGATTTCCCCAAACTATCACCTTTTCTGCTGATCTGTCTCACTGCTGGGTTTGTCATACTTGTTTGGCACAAGTATTCCTGTATATAATTTCTTACACTTTGAATTTGCAGAAGCTGACCTCTTGGATCACCTACAGTGTGATCAATAGCTTGGTCCACCTGCTTGGTCCACCTACAGTGGACCAATAGCTACATGATCAGAGGTCTCATGTTTCTTTTTTGCCCAGACCTGTATCAGACATTGTGTACAAGGTGACAGTAAGGACCCACAATCCTACTGGTGTCTTAGATACCAAGCAGGGTAAAATCTCTCTTATCAGGTATACTCCTTTTTTTTTTTTTTTTGAGACAGAGTCTCACTCTGTTGCCCGACTAGAGTGCTGTGGCATCAGTCTAGCTCACAGCAACCTCACACTACTGGGCTCAAGTGATCCTTGTGCCTCAGCCTCCCGAGTAGTTGTGACTACAGGCACATGTCACACCCCTGGATAATTTTTCTATTTTTAGTAGAGATAGGTCTAGCTCTTGCTCAGGCTGGTCTCCAACTCCTGACCTCAAGTGATCCACCTGCCTCGGCTTCCCAGACTGCTAGGATTACAGGCCTGAGCCACTGTGCCTGGCCAACTATCCTTCATTTTGCCTTGTCAATCCTCATGATTGTAGTTGTTGCTTATGCCCCATTTTTCCGCCTGGTAATTTGTTTTATTCTTTATTTTTGTAAATCTGCCAAAGCTTTGTAATGGCATACATAAGTGCAAATCTTCATCTAAAACATTGCCCTGATTGATCAGGAAGTAGCTTGATGACTATGTCGCCCCTTCTCCCATATATATGGAAGGATAAAATTGACAGTGGGGAATATTAACGGAGGGAACAGCCCAAAAAGGGGTAAAATGTTTTAAAAGTTGATTCTTTAAAACCTCCCCCACTTTTCTTGAGAATTAAAACCTATATTCTTGTCTGAGGCCAGTGATCAGAGGGGCAAGGGGAATGTCCTTTGTTCTTTGTACCCTGGAGATGGCTCTACAGAATTGTCCAGGCACAGGTCATGAGATTGTCTTTGGAGGAGATGTGATGGATCAGGACCATCATCTATAGTTAAACAACAATAGCCTGAAGCTGAAAACCCTCCTTTTAAAAGCTCTGTATTTCTGCTTACTGATATGAAAATGATATGTTAAGTCGTGAGTCTGCCATTCTCCTCATTTGCTGGCAATTTAATAAACCTCCCTTTCCTTCTTCTCAGAAAAAAAAGAAGAGTCCTCATGTAGAACTATATGTATGGTAAACTGTGTAATATGATTAATTCAATGTTTTGCATCTGAAGGTGAAGAAATATTTAATGAGTATTCAGTAATATTAGCTGGGTGTATAGTGCTCAATTTTTTATAAGCATATTTAAGCATTTATTTTTACAAGGGAGAATCAGATCATAAATATTACTTTGTAATTTGCTTTTATTGCTTTTTAAACTTACTGTATTTTGGATACTTTTCCATGTCAGTACATGATTTATACATTCTTTTTAGAAATTGCTTAAATATTTGATTTGATGAACATATTATAATTTAAACCAATCCCCCATTGATGGACTTTTAAAAAAGAGTATGCTGTGTATTTATTATTTTATAGCAGAATGTCCAACATAGAGCAATATTGCAAACATTCATCTGTGCAAACAGAGCATATGGTGCGTAAGTACAAATGGGACTACTTAAAAAAATACTAAAGCACAACTTGAAGTCCTACAAAAAGAAAACATTTAAACTAAATGGTTTCTAGATCTGCTTAGCTTCAGCTTCATTCTTCATGGACCTGTAATGATGGCTGCATCCCCACCCACAAATGATCAATATACAGAACTGTCAGTTCCTTTTTTTTTGCTTTTTGTTTTTTTTTGAGACAGAGTCTTACTTTGTTGCCCAGGCTAGAGTGAATGCCGTGGCGTCAGCCTAGCTCACAGCAACCTCAATCTCCTGGGCTCAAGCAATCCTGCTGCCTCAGCCTCCCAAGTAGCTGGGACTACAGGCATGCGCCACCATGCCCGGATAACTTTTTTTTCTATATATATTAGTTGGCCAATTAATTTCTTTCTATTTATAGTAGAGATGGGGTCTCACTCTTGCGCAGGCTGGTTTCAAACTCCTGACCTCGAGCAATCCGCCTGCCTTGGCCTCTCAGAGTGCTAAGATGACAGGCGTGAGCCACTGCGCCCGGCCTTTCTCTATGTTTTTCTACACACATCTTCAGACATGATCTGGCCTTGATAAAAAGACAATGGGAACTTTTCAGTGGCTAGTGGTTGATAATAATAAGTGTGGTACATCTTCTAATGATTTTCTTGGTTCCCATTTCTAAGCAGATTGCACTTAGATGGTATTCTTCAATTTGTCATGCAGAGTGAGCATTCCACCAATGCCTTTGAGAACACTGGCCCATACACCCTTGATGAAGGCTTTTCCACATTCATCTCTGAAAATCTTCAACCCATTATATATAAAGGTTCCATTTAAGTGATGTCAGTTCTTTGTGACCAGACTGCATCATAACCTACCACTTCATAGTATGGAGTAGGGAGAAGACCATGCTGGCCACCCAATTTGGTGATTTTCACACAACCATCTTCTAGGTCTTTGAATTTTCTTTCCTTGACAGATTTCCCAATATTGTTTGCCAAATGGATTCTGGTAAAATCTAAGGAGTAGAAAAAGCTGAAAGTGACTACCAGAGGCTAGATTGTCAGCAAAATACATCCAGAACCCAAGCTATCCCTCTAGAAGGAGAATATCCACTTCTCCTTGGGAAAGCAGACTAGCTATGTATCCTCTACGCTTTTGTATGGCTTGTTAGCAGCAATATTTTCACACACATATTGCACCTCTGGCATTGTCATTTCACCCTTGGGCATCTGTCATTTCAAGGGTATTATATAAATAAAATAATATGGCATATAACTATTTGAGATTGGCTTTTTTCACTCAGCATATTTCCTTTGAGATCCATCCAAGTTGTTGCATATATCAATAGTTCATTCTTTTTATTCCTGAGTAGTATGCCATGATATAAACACACCACAGTTTGTTTAGCCATTTACCTATTGAAGAACATTCAGATTGTTTCCAGTTTGGGACTGTTACAAACAAAGTTGTTATGAACATTCATGTACATGTTTTTGTATTTTCACTTTTCTGGGATAAATTGCTCAAGAGTGTAATTGCTGGGACACAGGGTAAAAACATATTTAGATTTTTTTTTTTCAAGCAACTCAAACTATTTTCTAGAGTGGCTCCATCATTTTATGTTACCACTAACAGTGTATGAATGATCCAGTTTCTCTGCATCCTCACTAGCACTTTGCATTGTCACTGTTTTTTATTTTAGTCCTTTTGATATATGTGTAATGATATCTCATTGTAGTTTTAATCGGCATTTCCCTAGTGGCTAATGATGTTTAACATCTTTTCATGGTTTATTTGCCATCCACATATTCTATTTTGTAAAATGTCTATTCATATCTTTTGTGCATTTTCTATACGACTGTTTTTTAAACTGTTGAATTTTGAGAGTTTTAGGATATAGTATAGATAGTAGACTTTTATCAGATACATGATTTGCAATATTTTCTCCCTGTCTATAGCTTGTCTTTTCATCCTTTTCAAATGGGCTTTTACAGAGCAAAAGTTTTTAATTTTGATGAAGCCTAATTTATTGATTTTTTTCTTTTGCTGGTTGTGATTATATTGTCATGAACATGTAGTAGTCCTCCCTTATCTGTGGTTTTCCTTTCCGTGGTTTTAGTTACCTATAGTCAACCGTGGTTTGAAAATATTAAGTGAAAAATTCCAGAAATAAGCAATTCATAAGTTTTAAATCATGTACCATTCTGAGTAATGTGATTAAATCTTGCATGGTCCCACTCCATCTCGTCTGGGATGTAAATCATCTCTTTGTCCAGTATATCCTTGTTGTAGTCACTACCAGCCTGTTAGTCATTTAGGAGCTGTCTTATCAGATTGACTGTGGCAGTACTGCAGGGCTTGTATCTAAGTAACCCTTATTTTACTTCATAATGGCTCCAAAGCACAAGAATAGTGATGCTGAAATATTGTTACAATTATTCTATTTTATTATACCTAAGTATAAATAAATTTTACATGAGGTTGTAGTATTGAGAAAAAAACTATGATGAGACAGTAGGATGTTGAGCCCAGGAGTTTGAGGTTCCTGTGAGCTAGGTGACACCACAGCGCTCTAGCCCCAATAGAGTGATACTTTGTCTCAAAAAAAAAAAAAAAAAAAAAAGAAAAGAAAGAAAAACAGTGTAATATAGAGTTCGAACTATCTGCGTTTTGCATCCGCTGGGTCTGTGGAATGTCTCCGTCAAGGATAAGAATGGTCTTCTGTATATCTCTAACTTACACACTTCCGTATAAGATACATTGTAAGGACTTTAAGAATGACTAAGATGACATAAAAGGATAACTTATAAAGGAAAATGTATATTTAATTCATATAAAATTAAAAATTTTGTATAGTAATCATTAACACTTTAACTGTCATGTGAGTTGTATTTAACATATGCTATTTGGAGCCAGCGGCCTCATGACATATGAAAACGTCAATTCTGAACAAATTCAGTAAGTATGGTTGTGGGTCACTTACTACTCACCTGGAATAGTGCAGTGTGAAAATTGATTCTAAGCACTCAAGTTCATTAATCAACGCCGAAAACATAAACAAAAAAATAACAAATTTTCATTAAATTCAGCAAGGATACGTTTGTTTTGAATTTTTATCTATTTTGTATTAAAACACCATGGCCCAAGGATTTTTTCTATCGTGTATCAATGTTGTAAAATTAAATTTAAAAGACAAACACTGGCTAGGAAAAAATTTAAAACATTTATCAAAGGTTATTACAGTTAATGTTGGAAAAGGTCTTATGAATTAACAAGAAGACTCAGATTCATTTGTTGCATGATATGAAAACTATCAAATAACTGAGCCGGGCGGCTTTCCTGTAATCCTTACACTCTGGCAGCGATGCGGTGCCCATTTGACTCAGAGATCAGACAGCCTGGCAAGACGAGACCTGTCATTATAAAAATACGAA